GTCCTTTCTCTTTCACGGAGAACTCTGTAAATCTCATTCTGCAGCGCATCTTCCTGCAGCTGTTCCTAATGGGAGAGAGAGATGAATCCTATCCTCTCACACATTAAAACCTGGTTCAAGACTTCAAAGACCTGCTGAGCAACACAGCAAAAAATACTATCCTTTTAAAAAACTTTCAGTAGCAGGAATAATAGGGATAAAAGTGAGGAGGGCCTTACGGTATGAATTAATCTCTCATCTTGGTCCTGGCACTGCCTCAAATGTGCATGTACACCTTCTTTTCCTCATCTGAAAGTATTAGTTCCTAGCTCAAGAATAGGTTATGGCATGCAATATGCTTAGACAGTTTGGAAGATGAAAAGCAATACAAGTTATGATCTTAGGGTAGAATTATTTCTTCTTTTGCCTACAGCATCCTTTCAACCTTTCAATTGAATTACATTGAGTTTCTAGCTGCTTAAAGGAGGATTTAAATATGTAGTTGAGACTGCGATACTGACTACAAAATAGACACTCTGTTCTTATCAAATCTTTCTTGTTAGAACAGAAAGAACCAAGCTGTCCCCAAGACCCTGAATTAGTTTCTTACGGTCAAATCTGAATACTCCCAGAACCTTTGTAGAGTTTTCTGTTTGTATGTTCAGATACTGTACAGATGACATGCTACAAAGGGAAATGATGTCTACTCCTCTTCTGAACTATTATGGCGTTATCATCTTGGATGATGTGCACGAAAGAACTGTTGCAACAGATGCATTACTTGGCCTTCTTAAAGATGTCTTGGTATCAAGACCAGAATTAAGGCTGGTAGTACTCACTGCGCCTCATATGTCCAGCAAACTGCAGAATTATTACGGCAGCGTCCCCGTCATAAGAGTGGAAAACAAACACCACGCAGAGGTTGTATATTCTTGCAACGTACAGAAAGACCACTTTCTGTCCGCACTAAGACTGCTCTTCGAGATACACCATACGAAAGAGAAGGGCGACATCGTGATCTTTCTGGCATGTGAACAAGTAAGTTATTAACTGATTCCAGTTTTTCTGATTTTAATCAAGAAACAATTTACATCTCTGTTTTTATATGACCTGTAAATATCTGTTGCCAGTATTTAAGACACCAGACACTGCAAACAGCTTTTATCATTTCAGGTTTTTCATACAAAGAAGTTATGGTATACATAATGCTGTATTTATATATATATAAAAATACAATTTCGTAATCTCTTACAAGGAGCTATCAGATTTTCTGTAGGCTTAAAGAAAGGCCCTCATCCTTCTGTGTGACCCAAAAAGTAGCAAAGGTGGCACAGAGGGACAAGGGCGACAGATGCAGGGAGTTAATACACTGCAACCTATTCCGGCATTGGGTACCTCACCCTTTGTGATTCCCCGTTTTGCAGGAATGGACACATATCCAGTTTGCATAAATGTCCTACTTCACATGAATGTTTTTACCTTAAACCTGCCTACAAGGTTTTTCCATCTGCATTCTCCTTTACGGCTGCAAACTTCCCAACCATTTGTGTACACAACAGCAGGAGGCAAATGCCACCCTGGAGGTGCTACAGATCATCCAGGAATCTGCATGGGCTTGGCTATTCTGGAGGTATCTCTGAATCCCTGAAGACAGCAGAGATGCCCTAAATTCACTGCCGCCAGGGCTGCACAATCACGTCCTTCTCAGAAAAATTTCACAGTACTTTATTGCTGTTAAAGCAATCTCCCATCAAATAAA